CGGGGGATCCGCGCTGCAAGCGCCGCCGCACGACCCGAGCCCCGGAGCTGGCCGGGCCACGCTCGCACTCGTGCACGCTGTCTCGGCGTTCGCCGTTGCCGGGCAACGTCCGTGACGCCACAGGGCGGACCGCCGAACGCCCAGAGCCCAGAGAGCCCGGCTGCAGACTGGCCGATTGGGGTGCACCCGGTGGTAGGGGCAACCCTGGCCCTCCTCTCTGTCTCCCAGGCCTCGCAGCTCCAGCCCAGAGGTTCAGCAGCCCGGCAGAGGCAACCAGGCTAAAACCTGGAACTCCACCTTCTTCAGGGGTTAGAGACTGAGAGGGTGACATGGACTTCGCTGTTCCTTATCCATAATCCACTGGCAGGGTGAAGCTTCCCGATGATAGGGCCAGTCTTAAGAGATCGGATTTTAAAAAACACGAAAACTGGACCAGTGAGATTGCTCAGCTAGTGAAAGGCGCTTGCTGCCAAGCCTGATGCGACCCCTGGGACCCACACGGAGAGACCTGACTTGCAAGGGGCCCGCATACATACATAAATGTTTTGGGGGCCTTTGGGAGGAGGTTGGTTTTTCGAGACAGGGTTTCTCTGTGTTGTCATGGCTGTCCTGGAACTTGCTTTGTAGACCTGCCCAGCATAAATATACTTTAAAACAAACAAACAAAAAACAATTAAAAAGACAAAAACTTTAGGAGGTAGTCTTTCTGTTGGAAAGACCACACAGCTTAATCTCCTGGCCCAGTGTAAGTCACCACCCACCCACTCAGCTGCAATGCTCCCATGGGTTCCTCTGCAGAAATACCATGATGACAGTCATATGATAGGCGCTGGGAAGGCAGCCCTCTTGCAGACTAGTAGGGAAAACGAACATTGGAAAGGAAACACACACACACACACACGCACGCATGCACACATCAAAGTGACTACAAATGAACTAATTCAGTTGCAGGGGGTCAGGACAAGTATCTTTGATCTAACTGGAGCTCAGATCAGGTCTAGGCAGGCCTAGGCTGTACAAATGGTCTGCTGTGTGTTGCTGGGGCAGTAAGCAAGCCTCAGTTAGCAGCACAGTCTTAATTTTTTTCAATTGTGTGTGTGTTTGCACGTGGGTGCAGCTGCACGAACGCACAAATGTACACCGAATGTGGAGGCCGGAGGACAACTTGCAGGAAACGGTTCCCTCCTTCCCCCATGTGGACCCAACGGATCAAACTCAGGTCAGCAGGTTCGACAGAAAGCAGTGAGCCTTCTCACTGGCCCTTGGATCTTTTTCTTAGAAGATCTCTCCACCAAGCCCCACCTCTCCCTTCCGTTTCTTCCTGGACCTTGGTGGCCAGGACCTCGGTTAGGCTCACCATCCCATACCATCGGCAATATGTTTGGCAAACAAACGCAAAACAAGAAAAAGTCGATGAAGATCTAGCCACTCAAGGAACTGCAATAAACTGTGAAGAAATGTGTTTTATTTCTCTCGAAGTCCACACAGTGGGGGCTTGGTGATGTTTGAATAAAGACAGGACTATGGTCTGTAATTAAGACACAGTTCGAACACATGGGCTCCAAGCTGTGCGGTCTCTACCATGGGATCAGTAAAAGCTTTGGAAGAAGTGTTAAGGGGTATGGAGAAGGCCTGTCCCTTGGATGTGCTGAGTATTCCCTGGTATCAGCGGTGACTCACGCTGTGCACACACCCTCCTGGGAGTGAGCACAGATCTAAAGTCTGGGCCACTTAGTTTCTGGCTTTCCTTAGGTGGAACTTTCTGGGGTTGAAATCCTAGGCACAGGATATGCTAATCCCTCTGCTCCACCTGGGGACCAGGCCTCCTCAGGGTGGGGGATGCGGTGGTATTCTATGGAAGGAGTACCGCCCACACCCAGTCTGTGCAGGGTGTTATCCCGCTGAAAGGCTCCCACAGACACCATTCTCTCCATCCCTCATGAGACACGTCACTCGAAAGAAATGACAATAGCCTTAGCTTATCTTAGTATGTGGATGTGTTTGGGTGGGTGCTAGAAGTCAGAAGTACCAGGCCTGGCCTGCCTCTTGCTCCCAAGTTTGGCCCCTCCTTGTTCTGTAGAAGCTGCCCCCTTCCCTTGGGATCCAAATCCCCAAACCTGTGGCCTCCAAGGCACTGAACACAAACATCCTCTCCCATCCGTTCCTCTACCTCTGCTTCCAAAAGAAGTCTGTTTATTGTTTTTTAAGACAGTTTCTCTGTGTAACTCTGCCTGTCCTGGAACTCATCTGTAGATCAGGTTGACCTCAAAACTCGCCTCTGCCTCCCGAGTGCTGGGATTAAAGGGGTGTGTGACCACCTCCTGGCTAAGAAATCTGTTCTTTTGGGTAGATTTCATATATTCTGCTGAGTTGACATAAGGGACACCTGGATTTGCCACTGCCTTCCTCTAGAATGTGTACCTGGATCTCCCACTGCTAAGGGCACACCCCCCTCTGTGGGGTTTGAGTTAATTCTAGCTCTCCTTTGCAAGTGGGGCTGACTTACCAGTGAGGTGACCAGTGCCAGCCACGCCCAATGGCCAGCACTGTGTTAAAGCCAGCATCTGCTAGCTTCCTAAAGCAGTTACCAAACTGACTGTGGTTTGCTCACCGTGGGTCTCACTCAGTGCTGGAAAGTGTGCTGAGGATGGCAAACCTCCAACTCCCTGAGCATCTGGTTCCCTATAGGAGTTCTCTGGGGTTCCCTGTCCAGCAGAGGCTTAGCTTCCTCCAGCCAGGGATGCTGGGAAAGCCTCTGCACTAGGAGGCCAGCAGGAATCTGGCAATAGCTACTGCCCAAAGTCACCAAGAGTTACCAACCCTTAGATCTACCTGCTCGCTCATCCTGGTGTCTCAGCTGGCCCCAGGTCCTGCGAGAAGCCCTGTTATCTCCAGCTCCAACCTCAGGACTCCCCTCCCATGGGCAGTGAAGTGATGGAAGACTGATCAAGGGGCAGATGGACCTGTTTGAAGCTGCTGACCACCGAGTGGGTACAAGAAAGGCAGAGTGGCTGCTGCAGCCCAGGGGCCAAAGCAAGGCCAGGCCCACAGGGGATTGAGGCCTTGCATTCTAGCCCAGGCCTTGCAGTTCTGCCTCGGACTTGGCGTGGCTGAGGGGACGCAGAGTCCGTGGGAGCCTGCCCTCAGGACCACAGTCCTGCTCTTCATAGGTGGGGTTCAGACGGCCCATGCTGAGTGGGCAGAACAGGCTTCGCTCCATTCCGGCGTGGCTCTCCACCAGGGCCTCCAGGCTGGGGAACTCTGCTGGCAGGTGCTGGGGAGGAAGGGTCTTTCTTTAGCTCTGTTCCCTGTCCCACGGTTCACGCCATCAGCACTCCACCCCCACCCCGGTCTCCCATCATGTGGACAGATACATTTGGAAAGGCGGAATGTGCAGTGACCATGGGACCAGTCACTATTTCCTCTTTCTTCCCAGCCTGGGCAGGACCGAGGCAGTTGGCTTAGAAGTACAGATGCGATGTAAACGCCTTCCCAGCCCAGTCCTGGAAACAGACCAGAGACTCAGAAGCTGTGAGCATTTAGGTCAGCTCTACTGGAGGTAACCTCTGGACGACACCTCTAGAGGGGAAGACCTCGGTGGTCAGGAACCTCAGAGATTCTCTTTGATCTCTATGGTCGGCACCCAGCCAGAAAGGCGTGGTGGCGCACGCCTTTACTCCCAGCACAGGGAGGCAGAGGCAGGAGGATCTCTGAATTTGTGGCCAGCCTGGTCTACAGAGTGAGTTCCAGGACAAGCAGTGTTATACAGAGAAACTCTGTCTTGAAACAAAACGACAACAAAACCCCAAAAGGACACAAGGAGAACCAGCAGGGCCAAGGGGACGGGAGTGGACTAGGAGAAGGGGTGGGGCCAGAGAGCACCCAGTCGGTGGACAGGGTGCAGTGTGCTGGGCTCAGGAGCTCAGAGGCTGAAAGAGGGCAGAGTAAGTATGGCAGGGGATGGAGCCAGCACGGGGGTGGAGCTGGAAGCCCCTTAGGGTAACCCCACAGTCTCACCTCTAGGCAGTACCGGCCCAGGTGGTTCCGGAAGACCTGGTGAGGCACCACGCCACACTGGGTCCGTACAGACAGGCTCCACTGATCACTGGTCCCCGGCTCTGGCCACAGCAAGAAGGCCCCATGCACATCTCTCCGCAGCAGGGCAAGAGCACAGGACCTGGGGGGACAGAGTCAAGGTGAAGGCCACCAGTCTGAGCCCAGACTCCAGACTTGTCCTGAGCAGGGACATACTAGCCCCGAGAGCCTGACGGTGACGGCAGAGGACTGAATGTGTGCTCTCAGACGCTCTGGGCCATCAGCCAGCCACCCCGTGAACAGAATTCAAAGGAACTCAAGGCCTTCTGGGGACCTGACTTGCTGACTTCAAGGCCGTGGTCAGGAGAGGTCTGAGGAACCTTGGGAAGGCTGGCAGGGACAGGCCAGACACTGTGTCTTGTTCCTCTCCCATTTTACATTCTGGAAAACTGAGGTTCAGGTAGAAAAAGACCATGGCCTGAGGTCACACATCCCACACTCCCCAGTCAAGGTCCATACACTCTGCCTATGCGCCCT